TTTAGTTTAATATGTGAGCATGTACAGTCGAGTGCGGCACATTCAGTGGTGCAAACCCGACCATTTAAAACCATACTATCCTTCAAATCTAAATCTCCCAACTAGTGTCTTAAAGCAACTTTTTACAAAGTAAAAACGAGTTAGCATTTCAAATAATGGATATGGGAGGAACATCTTATGCCATAGTTATCAGCTCATCGAGCGCAGTGATTTATAAGTTTAGATGTTTTGTCAAGACTACAAGGCGACCAATAGTAAAAGCTTATCAGCGCAGATAAGCGTCTAAAGCAACTAATTAGTCTAAAGCTCCTCCATTCAAACGTGATGCACTAAGGTAGGGCTGGATGGAACCTATGCGCAGAGTGTCCACATTTGCAATAGTTTGGTTTAACTTTATTAAGATTCTCCGTTAGCTTGTCTACATTAGCTTTACAAAAATTTTCAGATTTTCAGCAATTTTACCCAATACAAACTTTCACTCCTTGTTCTTCTTTCAGAGGAATTCATGGGAGGAGTTACACAAAAATCGAAGAAATGCTACTAACGTGGCTTCATTATGCATAGTGGATGCATTTTGAAGCCATCAATATGGTTTTTTTGACAGTGTAGAACGAATAATGTCTGGCAGACTTTGGAATAATTACAGTCGAATCATCTCTATGGAATATGAAAGATGATCAACTTGAAAGAAGCATACATTCTATCATACTTCAATTTGCCTTAACTGAAACTGAGTTCATCACGAACAACTTAGTCATGAATATGAAATAATTGTAGAATATCTCTCCGACAGACTCACATGGAATCTCTTATGCTTCAGAACTTTAAAATTGCTTTCTATTCTTTTATTTTATTACTCGAGTATATCTTTTTCTCGATAAAGGCTTTTCAAAGGTCATTACATCAAATATTAAAAGTGGATCTTTTTATTCAGATCATTTTATATCATCGGTCTAAAATCAAATGTTTCCAAATATCAATTATAGAACGGAAACCGATGAGCACGATCGACTTATAAAAGTATCATCAGCGAATGAAATTGAAATCCATGAGGCTGGGATAGAGCCTTCACCTGATCATCACATGGTTGAGCCTGTTTCTGGTAAGTTTACAAACATAAAGATGAGCAAGCTCCTCATTTGCTCTTCCGAGACTAAAGCAGTTAATCGAGCTTGAGCAATTTGACATCAGGGGCGTAGTTAGCATCTCAGAGCAAGAGGGGCCCTTCGAAAAGCTTTTTCGTTCTTCCAAAAAAAATGCTTTTTTGAAGAACGAAAGATACAAAGCAACAACTTTTCTGGAAGAGTGGTACTCACCCCTTACTACCCTCACAGTAGGTACGCTTCTGTTTGAGTGCTCCCATACAAGCAGTGTCTAGCTGACAAGGCTCCTATTTTTCACTTTTTTAATTTTAAGTCTCGCACAATGAAAGATATTTTCTATTGAAAGCAAATTCTCGCTTCTCTTGCGCATGGAGACGAGAGAAAGGACACATATGTGATAAAATGACAAAATGTCTAAATCTAACAAAAACAGCTTTGTTTCAGGGACACAACAGACGATCCTTCAAAGAACTTTATTCTTGCAGACAGAACAGAAGACCTGGGTCTTTTATTTTGTCATCCCTTTGGTAAAATGCATTTCCAGCAACGCCAGCTCTGCTTAAACTGAAATACTTTTCATCCTCCATAACGATATAACCAGGTATGCATCAGTATCAGTATTTTACTGAATACCGGCACTGACAATACTGATACTGATCAATACCGAAGAGTAAGAATACTGACATTGGAAAAAAATCTTTTAATTCTGAATCTATATCGTCACAAAATGTTTGTCAAATGTAATGGGTCCAAAATAACTCAACTTTTTGTTTTTTTCACTCGATTTTTTGTCCTACAAGAAGTCCCAATTTGATCGCTTTCGGCTCCAAGATATGTGCTTAAAAGAACAGACAATATTTTAATCTATTGGGACATAATTAAGAACGACTAACACCTTGTGAGGATATAGATCTGGAATTAAAAAAAATTTTCCTTTGTCTGTATCTTCAGTATTCAGTATACTGACACTCATGCATACCTAGATATAACAATCTGATGAAATTTGACGGTACAAATCTCTGCAGTTCTTCTGTGCAGGCCCTTCCTGGTCTTTAATATGTTTTGGTGCTTTAGCACGTTTTCTTACTCAAATGTTGGTCCGTTGTTTCAAATTTCGAGAGGTGATTGATACATTAACTTTGTATGAGCGAATGAATTATTTTTGACTAATTTCACTCTTATTATTTAAATTATACGTCATTCGCGCCAAATTTTTATTGCCTAATTTTCGTGAACGATCAGATCGAGGCAAATCTTCTGGTGTTACAAACTGTTCATACCTTTGTAACATATTATTCGATATCTAGTTAAATAATTATAACCTTTTTGAAAAAAGTTTATGTAGTTTTCAAGTTACTACGGAAGCGTCTTTATAGAAGTGTACAACGCGTAATGTCAGTACTTCTTGTTTGTCTTTTTTCATCAACGAATATGACTGAAGCATACAAAAGTATGCCGATATATACTTCAGAGCATACTCTTTCTAATAAAAACAAAAAGCGTGTCTACCATGTAAGATATAGTAGTGGAAACAAAATTATACCAGAACTTTTTCAGCACCCGTTGAGAATATTATCATATTGGATATGGGAGCCAGTGGCGTATCCAGATAGTGGGCAATTAGGCAATTGCCCACCAGTTTTTTGAGATAATGGCAATTGCCCACTGCAAAAAAATTTTGATACTCGTGTACGGTTGATGACTCAAATGATGTGATTTTAATGAACTTCTCAAGATGAGATCTAATCAGTTGTTGCAGAAAAATCAATCAGCAGTCTTTTCTATTTAACCAATGATCTCAATGATGACGATTCAATGATACCCTTTCGTTAAAATACTCGGTACTACATATAAATTCGCTGATGAATGCTTAGCTGTTCAACACAAAGAAAGCGAGC